TTGCAAAGTAAACATTTAAAACCTTAAAAAAAATTATAGGTTCTAACTATAGCGCACGGAAGCAAGTTAGACGAAAGAGAAATAAAAAGATACTGTCATGACAGCATTTAAATTGCTGTCATAACAACCCTCCCGAGTCAACTTCTGGGAGGCGTCGTTCCGCCATTCGACCTCCGATCAAAGTGATTTTAAAGCTCACACGTCACATTCAAAGGGTACTATAAGTATACCAAATTTTAAAAAATCCAACGGTCGAATTTAAAATTAGACATGTTAAAAATTTGATTATTTTTGCTGTCATGACAGCTAAAAAGCTGTCATGACAGCACTTCCGGACCAACTTCCAGAGTGCACCATTTCATCATCTGACCTCCGATCGGAGTGATTCCAAAGCCCACATGTCACTTTTAAAGAATACTATTAGCATACTAAATTTTGAAAAGATCCAACGGACGGATTGAATTTTGTGCAGGTTATAAAATTAATACTGTAGCTGTCATGACAGCAATTTAATGCTGTCATGACAGCACCTCCAGACCAAATTCCGGAGTGCATCGTTTCTCCGTCCGATATCCGATCGATGTGATTCCAAAGCCCACATGAAGCTTATAAAAGGTTTTACTTGTGACCCAAATTTTAGAGAAATCCAACGGTCGGATTAAGATTTGGACACCCGGATGCAAAAGTGCAATTTTTTGGTAAAAACCATTTTCAAAATTGTCCAAATTCCATCCTAATGGTCACAAACCTGTGGAAACACTTTGGACACGTCAAATAAAATTAAAAACACCTGATAGAACATTCAAATGATGGAAAACCCCCATACATCAAAATTTGACCACCCGGGTGCCATTTCCCAAAATGGACCCTAAACCCCCAAAATGCACAAATCATACAAGAGTGGTCACAAATCAATCCAAATACCATGTATTTATATAAATACATATGCTAAACATTTTCACTTGGCTCAGAGTTCCTTATGGGGCCCACGCACCTACTCTCTCTATCCAAGCTGTATGTTTTCCCATAACACACCATTTGCAATGCAACCACTTTGCATTTGCTTATAAAATCACATATATATCAAAATAAAGATCTGCTTGTAATAGAAACTTGGTCTACTAAGTAAATCTATCAAAACCACACACCATAACCAAGTTTCCTAGCCATAAGTCTGCAAACAGACAAAAATTCATACACAAGCACACAATCCATACATATTCACACACACACACATAATCATATCCTACTGGCACCCTAATCTTAAATACATTACAATATATTTTCTCAAAAGAAAGGAGTTGCAGTTCTTTACAAATCACAAGCAAACCCCTAGCTTTGCTCCTTTCCCCGTCCACCACTGGATCCTTCGCCTGGACCTAGAATATTGAAAAGAAAGGGGTGAGACAACCACAGTCTCAGTAACAGTGAAATTTACATTGATTATTACAAAGTAAGCCATAATCAAATAAACGAATAATAAATTCAACATAGTATATAATTTAGCCATTTAAAATGCATGAATGCATGACCTAGGCCGGTATGGCCTTTCATGACCAACAGAATGCCCCCTGGCACTCTTTAACTCGCAGGTAAACCTTATACCTACTTGTACCTCCATAGGCACAAAACATAATCTAAGGCATGATCTAATCCACCGAACTGCCTATGCCCCTTCGACGTGAATCCTGAGCAGTCAAAGCTAACTCCCTCCCAGAGCCAGCCCGACTTACTCTCCATGTGAGGGCTACCTTGGCCTAGGCACTCAACCTCACACTTCATATGTCGGATTCCCTCCCCCACTGAGAGGTGTCGAACACTCAATACACTAACCACTTTAGTGCACTGAGCCCACAATACGTAAGACAACACTGAGTACTGACAGTGTGCCATAGAATATCAAAAATCCACACCTTCTCATTGGTGAACTCCTACCGAGATCATGCCTTTTACTCTTGTCTACCTTTCCTGAGTATTGACTATTCAACACTCTAAAGTAGTATAATATTTATAAATCTCATTTCCATAAAAACATTGTTATTAAACAATTAGAAAATATATTTGCACTATAATCAAAGTAGTACCCCATAACTCCTTATAAAGCACATTTAATCTTTTAAAACATGTAATGCATGATAACTAGTAATATTTATTCAAAAATAGCTAAAACAAAGTAATAAGAAATATAAATTCCCCTGTTACCTCAACCCTTTGGTACTAAAAGGGTTCCCCTTGTACAAAATAGGGCTCGGCTTGTTCCTTACTTCTCAATAAGTTCCACCAACAATTTTCTACAACATATAAGTGATCCACATCACTTATCATGACAAATAGCATTAATGAAGACTATAACTTATACCACACAACTTAGGTCAATGAGTCATAATCCACCCTAATGGTCCATATATTAAACCAACCATTCACATAGTATCACTTAACCACCAAAACCATTTATTAGCCATCACTAGGCTAATTTTCAATTTATATAATTTTTTAATCAATTAAAAACCTTTACTTAGTGCCACCAACTTTCACCATTAGCCCTTATAATGAAAACCAAACCTTAATTTAAATCTTATTGGGCTCAAATAGCAAAATTATAACTAAATCAATAGGCTTAAACCATTGAGGAGCAAAAACCCAATTTCTCAAGGTTTATTTTGTGCCCAAAACACCTCTTTTTCATCCAATTATCCATTCAAAATATTAGATCACTATATAGAAACTCAAAACATGCTCCCTAGGATCCAAAGAAACAAAAGCTTACAAGAATAAAGCCTTTGGGATCAAAATTCAAAAATTTCCTCTCCCAAAAATTGAAGAAAATCAAGAGAAAGAGAAGAGGATTGAAGTAGGGAGTTTACCTATCGTGTAGCCGAGCTCGCAACGGTCGCAAAGACTCCTAGATCCGAGCCTAACTCCCTCTCTTTCTCCTTTCTTCTTTCTCTCTCTCTCTCTCTCACTCTCCCGTTTGTGCGTTTCCTTCCCTTGTTCATTTTCTGCGTTTTCTGCATCTGTTTGCTCTTTAAAATGCTGGTCAAAAAGTTTGGGGAAAATTACAAAAAAGGGCCCAACATTTTTTATTATTGCACAAAAGCCCGGGTCAACTTTGATAATTTTTCCCATAGTTAAAAATCAAATAAAACCAAACTTTTGCTTAGTAAAATTCAAACTCTGAGCTTCTATTAAATTATTCTAAATTTTAATTTAATTATAGATATTTTATTTTATTTTATTTATTTTTTTTAAATAAATTTGAATTTTAAAATTTTTAGGATGTTACAGCTTTTCATCCACAAGCAAAATTATAAAATGTAAATATTTTCGGCATTAATAGTGAATGTGCATATTGGGTAAAGGAAGGTACTCCTCCGTCTCTATAAAAAAGAAAAAAAAAATATTATATCACACATTTTAAAAAAAATAGTTAATTATAATAATTTTATCTAAAAATGAAAAAATGAATTAAAATACCCTTGTTAATCAAAATAAGGATGCATTCATTATTCGCCTTGTGAATGAAAATGATAGACATTATGAAAGGTGATTTAAAAAAATTATAATAAATGTTTATTAAAATTAGTAATTTTTTATAAAAGAATATAAAAATTAAGTGATAGTTTTTTTTATATTCAGGAATGGAGAGAGTACAGTATAAAACTTCAATGAAATCAGGCAATGCCATACACCGTTATTATTCAGACAATCACATGACGTTTTATTTTATGATAATATACTTCAAAAAAGGTTTTAACGGAGTTTTTTTTTTTTTTTTGTGGTTTGTGGATGGGATACTCCCAAAAAGAAATAGTGAAATAATGAAGGGTGGGAGGAGGGCGGAGACAAGTGAGGAGGGAGGAGGGGCAATGAAGCTGAAGGGCGATGGGCTCTAATTAGGGGTGAAAAAAAGTTGGGAGCCTATAATTTAATTTACTTTAAACCCAATTTAACATATTTATTCAATACATTCAAACTTTTAATTAAATTTATTTAATTAAATAGGTTAAATTTATTTTTTAAAGTCTAACTTATAAGCTCAACAGGCCGATATATATATATATATAGTAATATATCACAATCACATCAATTTCATCATTTAATTTTTAATTAATATATTTTTTATTTCTAGTTATATTTTAAATCATACTAGATTTATATATTAATTTTAATATTGTTACTTTATTATTATATTATATACTATAATGGTTCTAAAGTATATTTAAAACATTTAAAATTATAATGTAAGCCTAATTAAAATGCTTACTTTTAAGTAAGTTTTCAAATAAGTTTTTAGATTAGGCCAAATTTTAAATAACCTCAGGCTTAAACTGTAAAAAAAATTTTATATAAGCTGTAGGTCAGGCTCAAGCCTCTAATTTATCATTCACATTTAAGTCTATTTAATTAAAATTTAATTCAACCTAATTTATTTTTATCTCTAATTGTAATCATGTTACCTTGTTTGGAGTCGCGGCCTCATCGTGCCTTTCCTTATTATTAAATATCATTAGCTTAATTAACAAGTCCTGCCTGTCGTTTCCGTTCTCGTCCACCATGCATCGGCCCAACCCGATCCTTTCCGGGTCTTCTTGCTTTTCTTTCTCATCAACTGGACCCAAGCAACATATTACATCACATCGGGCATTGGCTTTGCACAAAGGAACCGAGGCACTTTGGGTGGTGCCACGCAGGCCTCCAAGAATCATGGGGCAACTAGAGTTTGACGCGTGTCTCATCCGACCCCTTGTCGTCTCTCCCTTTCCTAATTTGTTCAATGTGATCATCACCCTTCATTAGTTTGGTCCCAAGAGTGAAGACACCGAGACGTGGTCAGATATATCCAAATCCATGTCTCCATCTCTCTCCGCCTGTCCACGTGCGCCAATCCGCATTGGATCCCAGCCCGGCCCGCTTTTTGCCATAGAATTTCCTTTTTGAATTCCTATATATCATTTAATTAACTAATTAAATTATTAACCCCTCGCCCTCACTCGTAAAATGCTTGTCTCTTCCTTGCATTCATCCATCAGGGAAGCCCAAAAAAAACAACAAAAGAAAAACTGTGATCAACTGCTCTCTCCCCAAAGCACTGCCAACTCTCTCTCACCCTCTGACTGTTTTCGGTTATCACAAAGCACTTGAAGCACTTTCCTCTGTCATTCTCTCTCACCGATCTAGACTCGCTTTTCTCATCGTCATCCCGCAATGTTCAAGAAGCTGGTAGAGAAAGCCTCCGTCAAGAAGGTCAGTTCAATTGTTTTCATTTTTCTTTTCAACTCCGCTTGCTTTTTCCAATCATTCCCCGTGTCTTCTTTTTGTTATGAGCCTTTCCGATTTCCTCTTGGTCTCGTTTTCACAAAACTATGATCTCAGCGTTCAATTCATTTTTGTGTGCTATTTCTCTGAGAACTGATCCGACTTCCAGAGCTTGGCCTCGGACCGTGTCTTGAAGGAAAGAACTGGAGAGATTGTTAGGTAGGATGAACGCTTTTTTAACAATTTCTTCAGGCCCCGTGCTAACTTTCTTATTCTGTTCTCCCAGTAACGATACGAGGACAACATAAACTGCAGTATCTCAACAAAGCCATCTTACCATTTATAAAATGCTAATACAGGATAGTATACCAGTCCACAATTTTTCGCCTCCCGGTTTTTCGCTTGGTTATCCAAACTTCAAAATGAAAAATGATCTTTTGATCGAGATTGAACAAATAAAAATGATACCGCAATGTACAGCTGTATGGTTTTCATTGCCAGGGCTTGGAAAATTATAAGTTTCATCGATTGCCTCCCAGAGAGAAAGGAAAAGGAGATTTTGCCCGTTTTTTTCCATGATACCATGATATTATGCATATTTCTTCCTTTTCTTATTAGTCGGTCTTTGCACACACAAATACGAAGATTTTTTCTTTTTGATTTTGGTTTGCCTGAAAAAGATTTGGTTTTATCTACTTTGAAGCAATTACTCTTAAAGGATGGATAGTCAGCCTGGCCCAGACAACAGTGCAAATATGGTAAAGGAAGATATATATCTAAATGTGGACAACTAAAAGATATTATTTATTCGGTTAAAAAAGGATGTTATTTACTCTCTCTCTCCCCCTCGCTCTCTCTGTATAAAAAATTCCTTCTCCAAATAATATGATGAAAAATATTATTAATTGATTTTTGGCGATTTATAATTATTTAGAGATTAATAATCAGTAACCTCTTTTAATGGAATATTAAATTAAATTAATTAAAATACCGCTTTACTTTTGTTTTTAAACATCACTCGCTTGGATATAAAGGGGACAGGGTCGGTTATAGTGTGGGCCCTTGCTAAGATGATGAATTTAGGAGGGCGGTCGGTGGATCCATGTTAGAGACCGTTAAGTTCGGCTTGAGCCCACAAGAATCCAAGGCCCGAGGGTAGAGGCAACCTCAGAACGAGGAAGCCGTCCTGTGCTTCCCCACACACGCACACGCACACTCACACGCGCGCAAGTGCACGTATATTTTTATTAATTATAATCGGCTTTTTCGATGTGAGAAATTCAAGTTTAATGTATCTATCGGCGTATTCCCCGGTACCACCAAGAGCCACTCGACAAACTGAGACATCTGACCAAAAGAAGCTGCAAGTTGGCGTACAGTATTTGAGGCTCAGAAACTGTTGTTAATTTTACAACTCGCCTTTAAGCCTGGATGACTTATTTATAAGTAATTTGTTAACAACTTTGGAGCATATAATAATGTGTGTGTGTCTTTGGTCGAACTTTTTGCTCAAGTTTCGAGTTGTGCGTGCAGCCTGCTGGAAATTCAGATGGGCTAAAAGCCAGCGATTTAGACGTACGTTTGGTTTTTCACTATGGGGTCCCATCCAACGGCACTAAGTTAGCTTATGACAATAATCAGAAGATTCTTGCTCTGTCTACAAAGTACGTTGTTCCTTGCCTTTTCTTGACTCACTATGGCGTCTTATCTGTAACTTGTTCGAAAATATATACTACTTTATCGGAAGCAGCGGCAGATATTTTGTTATACAATGTTTATGCATTGTTCTGTTGTCTCTTTCAAATCGTTTCCATGGTTTTCTGTATAAACATCTAGAAGGCTTGAAACTTATTTCGTGCTTTTCTTCACAAGCAGGGATGGCAGAATTAAACTGTTTGGAAAAAATAACACTCAAGCCATTCTCCAATCTCCTGAGCCAGTGCCTAGCAAGTTTCTACAGGTTATGCTCCTTTACCCTTTCCTTTCATCAAGGTTACACGTTTCATTGCCCATTTTGTCATTACCAGGCAGCTGGCCAAATTAATGTTCCTCTTCAAGTTGTGGAAATATTCTTTTTCTGGGACTATAAAGAAAATCTGTACATTAACAACATCATGACATTTATATGCAGTTCATCCAGAATCAAGGCATCCTTGTAAATGTCACTTTCAATAACTATATTGAGGTAAGTACCTTGGAGATTATGTTTTCCTATGTAGTTCACTCAGAAACAGATATCGATGAAGAAACCTTGTACTTAGGTTTGGGACCTTGACAAGAAGCTGTTGGCTGATGAATACGTTGTCAAAGGAGAAATTACTTCCTTTGCTGTCATTCAGCATAGCTTCTACATGTAAGTAATATGTCTACGTCAAAATAAACTATCAAGAAATTATTGTTTGGGAGCATCTAAAGCCATGGGCATATGCACCTGAATTGTTAGGTACATTGGAGATTCTGTTGGTAATATTTCGGTCTTCAACCTGGATCAAGAACCATGGCATATAGTAAACATGAAATACATCATCCCTCTGTCAGCTTCCTATGGTTAGATGCTTAGCCGCTTTTATGTTGTTTTCACTTGGCTCGCATGATCTTTAAGTAAATGATTAGTTGTAAAGGTTTCATTCACCTGGTCCTTTTTAACCGGTGGATACCAAAGAGGAGGAAAACAAAATCTATTTGTAACATACTAAATTGATATTTAGAAATTTTATCACATTCAAACTAGAAACCATGTGGGGTGTGTAAGAACATTATCATTTATTTCACATTTTATAACATTTACTCAAGCATATGCTAATCCTCTAAGAATTATTGCCCCCTTCTCTCTTTGATCTCTCATAGAAGGGCTTGGTTTTCAATTCTTAAGTTCCTTAAGCATCCTGTTCAGGGATTCTGACTGAAGTGCCTGATGATACTGCCGTGACACATATACTACCTCAACTAGCAGCTGAAAGTAAGAGGTAAACTCCACAAAACCAGTCATCTCATTCCCTTGAAACATTACGATTGAGGCCAGATTTTTATTATTCATGTTTGATTTAAAGATTTTCTTCTATTTTGTGTTCCCATGCAGGGTTCTCATAATTTTTAGAAATGGCCAAATAATATTATGGGATATTCAAGAAAGCAAATCTATCTTCAGAACTGGTGGAAACATATCACAACCATCCTATAATGAAACTAAGAAAGCGACTTCTGCATGCTGGGCATGTCCTTTCGGAAGTAAAGTGGTTGTAGGGTACAGCAATGGAGAGCTTTTAATTTGGAATGTCCCTTCTCAAAACGTTGGAAATGATTTGGCATCTGATTATGCTACTCAAAACACTCCTATGTTCAAGCTTAACCTAGGATATAAATCAGATAAAATTCCCATTGGCTCAGTAAAATGGATATATGGTGAAGGAAAGGCAAGTCGACTTTATGTCATCGGAGCTTCTGACATTGCATCTCCAAACTTAGTCCAGGTATATGTTTTGCTTGGATCATTCTGAATATAATCCTCAACTTATAAATGATAGTGCTTTTTGGTATGAAAATAGAGGAATACAAGTTAATATTTCCAATGTAATTTTAGTCGTTCGTTATAAGATTCTTCCATATAATCATGACATGTGAAAGAACTGTTCTGGAAGATATCATATAATGTAGTGCTGAGCTGTAAAAGAGTCCGTCCGTTGTTTCTGTTAGAAGATTCTGATAGCTAATACTACGCAGGTAGTGTTACTGAATGAGAAGACTGAGTCTCGCACAATTAAGCTGGGTCTTCATTTGGCTGAATGCTGTATTGACATGGAGGTCTTATCAACTTCAAGTGAGCAAAGCAAGCATAAACAAGATTCTTTAGTTTTGCTTGGGAAATCAGGCCGTGTTTATGCGTACGATGATAGTTCGATTGAAAGGTATCTTCTACAATGCCAGTCTAAGTCCTCACCGTCACTGCCAAGGGAAGTGATGATTAAGTTGCCACTGGCAGATTCAAGCATCACGGCGGCAAAGTTCATCTCGGACAATCCTAATCTCCGAAATCCAGATGATGAGGTAACATGCAAAGTTAATCTCGAACAGTCACTTAGATTTCTTTGACAAAACATATTCATGTTTTCAATTTCACTGAATCGGCTTCCCTTTATGTTGCTTCTGCCACCTGTTGTCTAATAGGAATATGTTCAGTTGTTGAGGAATTACCCACCTCTTATGCCCGTTGAAACAAAACACAAAGACGGGGCTATTCTGAATTCTTCGAACTTCACTGGATTTTCAAAAGTCAAAAACTTGTACATAACTGGCCACAGTGATGGAGCCATAACTTTCTGGGATGCGTCATGTCCCTTTTTCATCCCAATTTTGCAGTTGAAGCAACAGGTATTTTTTTTTTTTTTTTTTGGTCAGACACTTCGTATGTTCACAAGTTGTCTACTCTGAGCGGAAAGAAAATAAAAGTTTGTTCCCAGTTGTTAACGATATTAATTCAAAATTTTCATCGTATATTTATTGCCTATAAAATGGGCTGTGAAGAACTCGTACAATGACATGATAGCATCGGTAAGAGTATAGCCTCCTAGGTAATTTTTTGGTTCAAGCAGGCCATTGGAGGATTAGATGCAGTTATTTTCCTTTTTCCCAAGTATTGAAGAATTGTTGTTAATTTACTTTTCCTGTTTAATAATTTATTATTCTTTTTGTTCTTTCCCTTCAACTTTATGCAGAGTGAACATGAGTTTTCTACAAGGGGCATACCCATAACAGCATTATATTTTGATACCAACTCTCCTCTTCTTGTTTCTGGAGACCAGAGTGGAATGGTGAGGTTTCTTCAATTATGAATTTAGTATATTTTGATTATTTTTCATCTTTCTTTCCTTTTCTCTTCAACCCCTATTATTTTACAGTACGCTTGCCATTAACATGATCTACAGGTTTGCATCTTCAGATTCAAACCTGAACCTTATTCAAGCAACAGCTTCATATCTCTTACGGGTATTTTATCTGCATATATTACCGTTGCTATCCATTAGTCGGCTCGTTCAGTCTAAGAGTGACACGCATTTCAATTCTTCTTTGTAGGAAGCACCAAAAAAGCGGCTGATCATATAATTCACAGTGTGAAACTTGTAAAGACTAATGGTGCTGTACTATCCATGAACATCGATCATGGCTCAAAACATCTCGCTGTTGGTTCTGACCAAGGATGTGTGAGCTATTTTCCGAAATTTTATTTTCTTGAAACTTACTTTGGGCTTACTTTCCAACCCTAGCAAGTATTCAAAATTGTGAATTTTTGTGACAATGGTGCAACATGCGAATTTTTTATTACCAGATACACGTTGATTTGATCTGAGCTGAAATGGACATCATGGATGCCGTTGGGTGAATATGATCATTAATTAAAATATTTGAACTTTCATTGAACACCTCAGCTAATGCCTAGGATAATTTTTGTTGGCCAAAAAAAAAAAAATGCCAAGGATCATTTAGTAGACTCAAAAATATATTGTGCCATCTACCTGCCACATTTGATTCCTTCTGCTTTGATGTTCACAGTTTTTTATTATCTCACTGAAGAATTATACGTAATAACACAAGTGAACCCAATTTTGTTGCAGGTTTCAGTTATTGATATGAATGGCTCAACTTTGTTATATCAGAAACAAATCACAAGTGGGATTAGTACCGGTATCATCTCTCTACACTTCCGAACATGCAGTTTGCAGGGTTTTAAGAAAAATATTTTAGCTGTTGGAACAAAGGATTCATCTGTTCTGGCATTTGATAGTGAAACTGGAAAAAAATTGAGTTCTGACGCTGTTCATCCTAAGAAGCCGTCTAGAGCTCTGCTTATGCAAGTGTTAGGTAAGAGCTTTCTAAATTGACACAACAATCAATTATCATAAACTTTGGGAGAACAAGTCTGAAAATCACGTCTTTGTTGTGACTAAGATGGTCAAGGAGAATTAACCAAAGGGTTGGGCACAAGCGAAGTGAATGATATTGAGGATGCAACAACAAAGCAATCGAGCATTTTGTTGTGTTCTGAGAAAGCTTTGTATGTATATTCTTTAGTGCATGTTGTTCAGGTAATATGCACTACACTTCTATTCATACCAACAATTCTATGTTACGAATAACAGTAGAACATTTGCTGATGCCTGCATTACACTGGTCGGATGTTTCAGGGTGTTAAAAAGGTGCTTCACAAGAAGAAGTTTCATTCCTCATCCTGTTGCTGGGCATCTACATTCTACAGTCATTCTGATATTGGACTTGTGCTCCTCTTCACCAATGGAAAAGCAGAGCTAAGGTGGTGGCTCTTTTCTTGACATGTGTGTGCGTACAAGACTTTCTTGGTGCCAACTGCACGAGCAGAATTCTCCTTTCTATTAGAAAAATGATAAGACCAAAAATATGCTTCTGTTGGCATGTGTTCCAATGTAGTTTTGTAGTCAAACATTAAAACGGCAATTTATATCAAACAAATAGTGATTTAGTCCAGAAGCAAAACGACAAGTGTTTGCTCGGAGCTCAAAATCAGTACTTCTAACCATTTCTAGTTTCTCAACTTCGTAACATGCTCTTTAAAATAAATTTTCATTCTTTAGTGTTTAACGCTACATATATTATTTCATTTCCAAATATTAGGTCTTTGCCAGAGTTATCCCTGATCCTGGAGACCTCAATTAGAGATTTCATCTATTCACCATCGAAATTAAAGTCATTTTCTGATAGACAGATGTGCTGTTCGTCCGAAGGAGATCTTGTTATGGTACCAATATATTTTACTATTTCCATAGCTTGAATTAAATAATTAATATAGTTTACAAATTAATTCAACTTCCATTTACAGGTGAATGGTGACCAGGAAATTTTGGTTGCCTCAATGATAGCCCAGAGGGATGTTTTCAGGTATAGGAGGCTAGAGATTGTCATAGGAAATTATGTTATCAATCTCACTACTGTACTAACAAGAGCTCTTATCGTGGTCTTGCTTTGCTTGGCTTCTTTTTAGGCTTTTGGACAGTGTCAGCTGTGTCTACATAAAAGAGAGGAAGCAGCAATATGAAGAAGCTGTCCCTGCCCCGGTCATCATCCATAAAGAAAAGAAAAAGGTAGAACACTAGTTTTTATTTACTTTCAAAACTCTATAATGTATGTGATTCCATTCTTTTTCCTTTTTTTTTTGGCGGGTCAGGGTATATTTAGCTCTGTTATCAAAGATTTTACTGGCAGTAAAGAAAAGCATTTGACCCTCATGGAATTAGAAGATACAAAAGAAAGCATGCGGCAACTCTCAGTGATCTTTTCTAATGCAAATTTTCCGAGTGATGCTGACAATAATGAAAACCTTACCATGGATGAGGATGAGCTTGAATTAAACATAGGTATGACTAATTTACACACGATCTGTCTGGATAATCCCTTTGTTGATAAGAAGTGCCCTTGTGGACCTAAAAAAAACTACTTCTACAGCTATAAATTTTATGTTCCGAGTTGTGTGTGTTTGTGAGAGAGAGAGAGAGAGGCTGAAATTTCATCTTTCTCTATAACTTACATCAGAAGCCCTTGGGATTTTCTGTAAAGGCCAATTCAAGATGTTTTGCTTTCCTCCTCTATAGATGACATTGACCTCGGGGATCCCAGAGAGAGACGCAAAGATCAAAGGATACTGGGGACTCTCAATAAGACGAATTTGACTGGCAAATTTCAGGCTCTGAAGGGTTAGTGACCGCTTCACTACTATGTCTTTAAGGATGTTTAAAAGATTTGTCCTGAACGTTAGCTGATTTTGCTGAGCATCCAATGTACAGGAAGGTTGAAAGACATGAAGGGAAACATCCAGAAAACATCAGATAAGGAAGAGCAGCAAGATGAGAAAGGTGGTGCAGTTGATCAAATCAAGAAAAAATATGGGTTTTCTTCTTCCTCCGACGTAAGTAATGCATTCAGCATATATTTATTCACATGGTAGTCTTCACGAGCATGGAATACTCTGTTGCGCCTATTTACAGGTGAAAAACTTGCTTCTTGTAGTATGACCATATGGTGTATACTGCTTAATGCAGTTATAGGCTCACGAGCAAGAGAGTCAAGATCGATAATCTGTCAAAATGATTAAGCTTATGATCGACTATATTTGAGCTTCTCTATTATCATGAAAAGCCACTCATTCAAGTTATTAATGTCGGGTCCATTGACAGAGCAGTGGCAGCTCTGCAATCGCTTTAAGAAACTGCCGACTTCAGAGAAGATCTATATGGATAACTCATGGTTCATGAAGGATTTTATTTGTTCAAAAGTGTATTTTCTTTTCTGAAAATAAAATATATTAATGGCAGCCGTGCTTTGTTCAATGAATATTAGATAATGCATTTACCATTTTGTATACTACATTAGAATCGTTATGATTTTTGAAATGTTACTGGAAACATGAATCGATCATGAATTGCGGCAGGAAACTAGCACTGCTAAATTGGCACAGAACAAGTTGCAGGAGAACATGCGAAAACTACAGGTATTTTATGTAGTTATATTTGAAATACAAAATGCTACGAACTACAAAGTACAACCAGACCTAGTTTTACTGGATGCAAGAAATAATTCATGCACTCATCTTGTGAGTTGGGCAGGGTATCAATCTTCGAGCTACAGAGATGCAGGATACAGCAAGATCATTTTCATCATTGGCGAAACAGGTTCTGCGAACTGCTGAACAAGATAAGCGTTGAAAAGTCTCCGGACTATACTTATTCGGACTCTTGTTAGTTTATAAATTGTTTTTTTTAATTTATATTTGTAAAGATTTTTGTGCGTGTAAGTTGTTCGCCATTGTTTTTGTGTTTATATTTTTTTTCACTCTTGTGATCAAGACACATCAAATCATGGATGGGGAATATAGTATTTCTTCCCCTTAAAAGTTGACAGGGTTTCTTCCATTTGAAGCTTGATCATTGCAAAACTGACAATAATCTTCAAGATCACAATTGATAATTCAATATCCTAGATTTTCAAATGCTTCGAAATCCATTTTGAAAGCCTGGCACTTTATACATTTGAAGATTAATATCTTTAATTTCCTTACAACGCTTTTTGTTCTTTTACTAGTAGAAGAAAGCAATACTAGCTACTTGTGTTTTGCTTTCCCTTACAAGCCATACAATGGAAGATGTGGATCATCTGGAGTTAAATTTCAAAAATTGGTCAATTTCAAATAAATGGTAGTATATTATGTCTTCGTTTAATGTATATATAGCAAAATATATGTTAAGCGTTCAGCTTACCAATTACCAATTTCAGATTCTCTTAACTTCAGAAGACCTAATTCCAGTGGCTGGTTAGAAGAACTAGGGGGCTCACAACCTTGTCTACACTCCTCCAGGAGCACACTTAGCCTGTGAAGGGAACAAAAACCACTACTTCGCAGTATTTTTTTTAGGCCAACGACTTAAAAGCATTTTAAACATGAAAATCAACATCTCCACATACCTCGTAAACAAATCTTTGATATGTGCAAATATAAACACAAACCTGGCAAATGCCAATGTTAACAAAATGAAAATTCATTATTTTAATTTATAAACAGACAAGCCCGATGGGATATAACTTATAACAAAAAGGCCAGCAACACCGAAACTATATTAACTAATCGGAAACAAGTATTATTTGCGATTAATGAAATTTCTACAGACCTAATGGGCAAATAAAACTGTATTAAGTTTGAATGCAGTTCAACAACGACATTCATTTTGCATGATGAAGCACACACCTCAGTGAAGACCAAGTTTGAATGTCTCATTGAGACTCGTTCTCTCGCGTTTCTTCAGCACATAATAAGTTCCCAACTTCAAGAAAGACAGCATGGCAAGAGTTCAAATATAAGACTATTGGACCACTAATGTTTTCTCAACAGGTCTACCAATAGGGAGAGTATCTCTTCTCTAACAGCAACTCTGTTACTAACGCTCAAGGTATAAATATCTGCTGCTGGATGACTCCGCAATCTAGCAACTGCATAAATTGGCAGCCTCAGTTATTTACTATTTCAGAAACACTCAAAACTTTGATCTTTACATGAATCAAGTGCCCGTCCTACATTTTTTGCTCGAGGAGAGAATTTGTCCTGTGTCACTCGTTAGAAGAAATCAATTGGCAAGAGTAATTCTATTTCAGGATGTCTAAATGAGATCATTTCAACACTGTCTCTATGCGAATAAATAAATAAAACCATAAAAGAAGATTATCATTATCAACCAATAAACAGGCAGTTCGAGAGACGGAAATATGCAAAAGTCTAAAATTACCTTCAGGTATATCTCTACCATATTTGGGAATTGGAATCGAAGCCAAAATTGGGATATTTGATTCCAAGACTTTCAGAACAGCAGGGAAGAAGGATGAGCTGTACAACTCCATCTTACCAACTTCATCAATGATGAAGAGATCAATATCTTCTCTGACCTATTCATTGAATGTGTCTTCAGACCATCAAAGATTCAAGTCTAATCTAATACATTGCAGGTAAAATGCTTCTATTCTATGACATCATCGCCAAATCAACACTCAAAGACAACACTCATGCTGCATGCAATGAAATTGTCACGATAGATTACAATTTACATGTCAGAACAGACATAAAATTTTGGAAATACACAAAAATGGATTTAACTAATATTCTTCGAGAAATATGCAGCAAACTTATGTCCCACTCAAGGTGCTAACAATTTTATCGACAAATGCATAAACCATATAAGACTCACAACCAATAAACAATAGTCTTGAGAAAACCAGCTCACTCCTCACCTGCAACTCAGGCAGAGCCAGTGACTCGAAAGATGCTATATCAACTTTGTAGTTTCCAACACTGGGCCATCTGCGAGACTCTGGCCTGCCATTAAATAACATCACGCATAAATACGAAAAGTTAAGTTAGAAGACAATATTGTCAATTATAAGATAGATCAACTGCAGCACGTGTGTTATAGGTAAACTGCTTTTGCGCTTAAAATCATAAAGAAGTGTCATAACGTCGCCAAGAAGCATGAAGCATCAAACAAAAAACACCAGAGTCACTCCCAAGTTGAAAAAAATCACAATGCACGCCTCAGAATGGCAGCGGTTGTGCTACAGACATTTAAGGACTTGGGAATGAAAATATTAGGATTCATGCAAAAGGAAGGAGAGAAAATAAAGATACCTAGAAATGTTGGCGGAGGCAAGTGGACCCATGCGACCATCTAGGGTGACAACCTCGAAACCAATTCTCTCGCTTCCTTGTCTAACTTCACCTGAAAATTCCTCCACTATCAATAACGAAAGATATTGACGCATAACCAGGATGAAATGTAACCAGGAAGAGAGGAAGAGGAGAAGCCTACGAGTGTAGAAGCCTTGAACCTTGAGGTTGGGATTTGAAGTTTTGAGGCCCTCGATCACTCTCATAATCAGAGTGCTTTTGCCCACACCCTGAGCACAAAACCTCCCACGTGATCCAATGAAAAGGCAGAAGAAACTTCCAAGCATCGAGTATTGAAATTGGGAGGACCGAGTTGACGCGGGACTTACCGGAGGACCGGTGACGAGGATGCATTTGCCCGGACCCGCCATAGTCTCTAAAGTTCTTCCAGAATCCTGATAAAGCGCGCTCCTTCCACGGCGAGACGCCCCCCACAAAGCCAATTCCTCCGTGAGATCATGACCAGTGATTGGCCGATCAATACATAGTTTCGTACCGGCCCAACCCATTTTTTTAAAATAAAACAAATGATCTTGTGAATTCTTCTAAAAAATATTTTATAATCAAGGAAGAATTACACAATATAATTAAATATCACAAAATTTATTGATAACTTGGCAAAAAAAAAATGGTAACACATTTAGCTGTTATTTTTTATTTTTTTCAATTGTCAATAAATTTTATAATATTTAATTGTATTGTATGGAATCTCAAAGTAATTCTTCCTTAATTAATGGTGTTCAAAACTAATATAAACCAATTATACTAAACTAAATTGATATAAATAGATAAAGAACAATTATAATTAAGGCCTGGTTAATTTTTTTTTTTTTGCAAAATTGATTGATTTCTTTTGGTTCATATTTTTATTTCTTGAAACATGAAACAAATCAAACTAAGTCTTGTTATATACTCCCTTCATTTAGAAATATAAAAATTTTTTTGAGGAGTTGTATGTTTGAAAATGTAAGGCATTTTTAATCTTTTAAGGTGTATTCATTGTCTTTTTTTTAAAGTACTCCTATTGATAGTGACTTTATATTTATTATATTTAATAGGGGTAAATATGAAAAAATAGAGTTAGTTTGAAAGTAGGTAAATACTTTATTGGAAGTGAGATTCAGTTAAAAATGTCTTACATTTTTGAACGGAAGGAGTATATTTTTATACATTTGTCTAATTTTTTTCTCAAATTTAATTACCTATAAATCATTTATTAAAAATAGTTAAATGTTGGCTTTACTTTTTATGATACTTTTTAATTTGATAATAAGTATTTCAAGGATAATATGTTAGTTTTTAATAGTTAAATGAGCTAAATAATTGTTAAAAATATTCTTTTGTTCACACATGCACACACTCATTTTGTTAAAAAATATAAAGTATTTTTTAAGAAGTTAATGTTAAAAAAATATAAGACATTTTTAGTCTTTCAAGGCATAAATATTATCTTTTTTAAAAAATACACCTATTAATGAATATTTTATATTTATTGTAGGGTATTTAATAAAAATAAATATGAAAAGATATGGTTAGTTTGAAAGTAAATAATTACTTTATTAGTGGGTGAGATTCAATTAAAAATATTTTATATTTTTAAATGGAGGGAGTATTGATTAAGAAAAATATCTAAAAAAAAACTTAAACTTGATACAAATTTAAACTAAGTTGAACTATATTAATTAAAAAAATTGAATAAGTCCCAAATTTTTGTGAATTGATTGGTTTGGTTAGATTTAATTTTTTTCAAAATCAAAACAAATCAAAATCATAAACACTCTTGCTTATCAATACCACCTTTGGATCAATGATCTGACATATTAGAAATTTTTAGATATATTAAATGTGCTATGTTATTTATGATCTATTTAACTAGAATGTTTTAAGTTGTTTAAATAAAATTTAATGTGACATATCTTATAATAAAATACATATTTAATTTTTTTCTCTCTTTATTATTATTAATAATAAAATTAATTTATACTTAATTTTATTTAAATATTATATTTTTACTGGATAAGATACAAAGACATTGTGTATCGGTTTACCTCAAAATTTCTCTAGGTCGTTGAGACTTGAGTGCCGTAAGGTGAATTGGGTATTTCCCTTTCTCTTCGGGCCTAAAAGGAGAGGGGGAAAAAAGTAAAAAAAGGTCATTCACAGCACAACTTACGGTATTTAAATAACGGAACGAGACCAACCCGGCACTGAAAAGCAATCACGAAACGGGAGTGCTGGTTTTGACGAAGAAAGTCTTTTGAAAACTTATCAAACCCTAGTTAGGGTTTCCTTCCTCTATTCATCTTTGCGGGAGTTCTTTCTTCAAAGGAATCCTGGAGCCCTTTCGTTTTCCTCCGGCGACGGAACCGCCTTACGGCAGACCTTACAGCGGCCTCGGAACCATGTACGGATCCAGAGGGTAAATTGAGAAGACTTGATCTTTTGCCTTTAATGTTTTGCATAGCTGATTTTCTGTTTTTTCCCGATATTTTCTCATCACTGTTTCCCCGTTGTATTGTGTATTGTCGTTTTAAAATTTATGTCTTCGTTTTTCAACGAGGTATTCGAACTTGCGATTGAGCATGTTAGATTGGCATTGTAGCGGACGTTTTAGACTTTTCGATTATATTTCCGTGTTTGATGTTTGTGAGGTGATGGCTACGTTTAGAAATCTCTAGGGACATCGTGTTGGGGTTTTTAGGAGTTGTTTTCCTTTTTTTTCGCCTTCGGATATGACTCGAACATTGAAAGTGGTAATTAGTCCATGAATATTCAATTTTTTTCCTGTAAAATTTTGCGTTCTTTTGGTTTGACGGTGATCTATTTGGTTTGATTATTTCCTGCCTGGGTTTATGTTTGTTTCATACAGTTTGTTTTCTACCCATTTGAGCTTTTCGTTCACCATCGTGGATGGTCTTCTGGTTCGTGATGAATATGTTGAATTATTGATATGCAGAGATAGAACTAGTTTTAATTTTAATAGCCACCATTTGCTGATAAGTGATAGCCGGTGCCGGGAGGTGGGCTTACTGCTGGGCTGCTGGCCTAGATAGCAATTTGTTGTAGAATCATATTCAACATCTTTATAATTGGCTGTTTGATCAAGTGATTACCTGAAATGGGAACTCCTCTTGAATGTGAATATTCTTTTCACAAATATTCATCCATTATGTATTGTAGTGAGTAGCCTTCTCAGTCCAGGCTCTACATCTTAACTTCGCCATTTCGTCAATGAATTTAGTGTAGGCTGGAACAATGTCGCGAATATGTTGCTAACAACTCTGTGATCTAGGAACAACACTGAAGCGATGATGATAGTTTTTTGAAGTTTCTGACTTTTTTTATTGACTGATATTATTTGTGAATTGTTGTCCAACCTTATCTGGTGTACGCTTGTTAATTTTTACATAAGTGACATCATCTCCTTCGTTTATGCCGCTATATTACGTGTTTTGGCCCTGTCAATTGTAGTTTTGCCAATATTTTAGATTAAAATAACTTGGGATGTTCTCTTCATAAGACTATGTTCTCTTTAATGTGGTTCAGTTTGTTTTCCGTTTGCCATTACATGGGCTATTAATGGATTGTCTATTCAGTGTTAAATTGATTAAACTTGTAAAACATACGTTTATGGTCCATTCTAGGTACAATATTAGTGTATTGGTATGCATAGATGTTTGTTACCTTGATGCATGGAAGCTGGTTCCTTTCTTTCTTCTATGTTATTTATTCTTCTAGGATAAGTAATCATTATGATGAATGCTGTGAGATTAGGAATTAAAATTAGATGTCAGGGAAGTGTGTGGGTTGGGTTTGGCTTTATTAACATGTTTAGTGGGGGATTTTTTTTCCTGTTTTTTTGGGTATGAAATTTGAAGGGCAATGTTGGGAAGCGGGGGGGTTTCGGACGGGTACGAGGTTGGCTCAAAGAGACAAAGAATGATGGAATCCAATCCCTACTTCGCAGTGAGCAGCGGAACAGTTGGCTTTCAACCTTATGGATATGCTGGTGGCTTCCAGCCCCCACCCTTTCCTGTGGTTCGTCTCAGGGGGCTTCCCTTCAACTGCACTGATATTGACATTTTCAAGTTCTTTGCTGGGCTGGACATTGTGGATGTACTGCTGGTCAACAAGAGTGGAAGGTTCTCAGGGGAGGCTTTTGTTGTCTTTGCTGGAGCAATGCAAGTTGAGTTTGCTCTACAGAGAGATCGGCAGAACATGGGGCGAAGATACGTGGAGGTTTTCAGGTGTAAGAGGCAAGATTACTACAATGCAGTTGCTGCTGAGGTAAACTATGAGGGAATATATGACACTGACTATCATGGAAGCCCTCCTCCATCTCGTTCCAAGAGGTTCAGTGATAAGGACCAAATGGAATACACGGAGATATTAAAAATGCGTGGACTTCCATTCACTGTTTCAAAATCTGAAATAATTGATTTTTTTGGAGATTTTAAGCTGGTAGAAGATAAGATACATATTGCATGTCGCCCTGACGGGAAGGCTACAGGAGAGGCATATGTGGAGTTTGTTTCCGCCGAAGAGGCTAAGAGAGCAATGTGTAAGGATAAAATGACAATAGGATCAAGGTACGTAGAGCTGTTTCCATCTACAGCAGATGAAGCTAGACGGGCAGAGTCAAGGTCGAGGCAGTAATAGAGATTTGGGACCCGTTTGGCTGGCTCAATGTTTAGGGTTTTAACCCTTGGTATCCGACTATCCGTCTACCTCTTGGTGCTACTGTAATGTTCCTGTATTTGGATTGTGTCTGGGATATTGGTCCCACTTAATGGATTTGTTTGAATCTTGCGTTTGATTGATTCTTTAGAAATTTGGTAACTAGATCCTTCATCCTTCATTGCACGTGGAGAGAACTTGAGTGCACAAGCAAAAAGGGTCCAGGAATTTAGACAATTTCGCGAGGGTTCTAGTTGAAAATTTCCTACTATGAAACTTTTAATCAGGAAAACATAACTATTGGTTTTTGTAGTTTTTTTATTTATTGCTTCATGTTCTTCTAGTTTATTTCATTTGCAACATTAGTTCTATTTTTCAATATGTCCAAAAGGACTATGAGATACTAACCATGTTAAAACGTTGACCTATGACTAGCATCATTAGTATGTCATTACTCTGTGCTGAGTGGAATTATTATTTAGTATATTAATAGCGTTCATCTTGTTTTGTTTTATGTTTCTGGCTTCAATTGGTTATGACATAATTTCACCTGAGCACAAAGATGAACGTTGCTTGTCACAAATCAGCATATTTAACATCATTATTACCTTTTCATTATTCTTTTGGGCATGTTAAAAAATAGAGATTAATGTTGCAAACAAGTTAAAGGAGTTGAAACAATGAAAAAGAATTTCTGAAACTTGTATCAAAACACTTGAAAATTATTGGGGGATATAGTCATATTTTCTCATTTTAATTTCTTGTAGGAATCACGCCTTTGTTCTGTGGATAAAATCCTGTGCACTAGCA